ATCAATAGGATTTACATAATATACTGTAGAATTTAGCTCTTTTTTTTGGGTCACTGGCAGCCACCCCATTTGGAGGCAGTGCCCCAGCATGGCCCCCCCCACTGAAAATGCTCTAGACACGCCCCTGGTCTATGTGGAACACAGTGTAAGATCTGCTTCCCCACTGTCATCATTGGGTACAGATGAACGATCCAGTACCCCTGGTATCGCCATACAGAGGTCCATATCTGCATCTCCGGCCCAATCACTTGCTGCGCTAACAACCTCAGAGGAGAGGCAAAGGCCCTCTAGGTCCCGTAGCCCTAGGGAGCGGGCATCCTCACCAGTAGTGGTACGTGCTACACAAGAAAAAAGAAGGAGCCACAGAACACAGACCACAGACATTGGGGAGAGGCTGATGTCCTTACTTCAAGAGCCTATTCCAAAACCACACATGCCAGATGCTGAACTAGATGAAGCATACCACTTTGCACTAAGCCTTGTGCCAATGTTGCACAGATTGGATAAGGACAGGAGGCAACAAGCCAAAATAGAGATCTTGACCAATGTTGTTTTCGTCAACGATAACGAAATGATTTCGTTGACGCACTTTTTTTTTATGACGATAACGCGACGATGACTAGCTAAAAATAGCCCTAAGGTGACTAAAACATGACGAGACGTTTTCGAGTTTTCGTTGACAAGACGGAACGAAAATGACTATAAGTCTGACGTTCGCAATGCATGTCATTTCTGCCTATTTTGCGTGAAATCTGTCTGTTTTGAGCTAAAAAAGTATCAGCAATGCTGCCGCTTCCTATAATTGTTTTGGGTACCCATGCCGCGCGCACCAGATTCCACACAACAACACACCTGCGGCTGCGGCTAGTCACTCACCACACATCTTCGAAGGACCATGGCGGCGAAGCCAATAAACGGGCTTGGTGGTCGGAAACGACGAGATGATTTATGGACATACTTTCAGTTTCAGTATAATCCAGCGGTTCTCAAAGTGTGGGGCGTGCCCCACTGGCGTGACAGGTCTCCTCCAAACGGGAGGAAATTTTCCGTTTTATGCCTTTTTATCTTTATTCGTTCATGCCGAGTCCGCATCGTCAAATTCATCTTTGCAGCGAAACCCGAAACCACCAGTTTATTTATAAACAATTAAATGTCTCCTTGCTATTTTTTTACACATTCATAATCATTACTTTTGCCGGTTCTTTGTGACAAGCTTTATGCGTGCGGTCGTGCGGCTATAACGCTCAATATCCCGTATAGCCTATTTAAGTAATTAAATTAATATAAAAGGGCGATATGTCCACTATGGCTTAAATGAACAACTACTAATCGACTAGAATAAAAACTTTAGTCGGAGGCAGCTCTTATTCCACATATTCTCGAACCAGCAGGCCATTCTGTGTTGAGCGCGCGACCCTGAGCTGAATGAGCGAGCAGAGGAATATTCAGAAATGCGCTTTTCGCTCACATGCTCTGATCGGAACAAAGGAATATTAAAGTAATTAATCATTAGTTTATTTCTTACACACTGCCCATACACTACCCATCATTTAATCCCATATCAACTACCACCAATCAGAGCATACATGGATGACATGACAACCATGACTACAACAGTAGCCTGCACTAATCGGTTATTGGGGAAGTTAACAGATAATATTGAATGGGCACGAATGAAATTTAAGCCCTCTAAATCAAGGAGCATCTCGATAGTTAAAGGAAAGGTAGTAGATAAAACATTCTTCATTAATGGTGAGGCAATACCAACAGTTTCTGAGAAGCCAGTGAAGAGTCTTGGGAGATGGTACGATGGGGATCTAAAGGACACAGTTCGGGTGGGAGAAGTTAGACGACAAGCAGTGGAAGGGTTGAAGAGCATAAATAGCTGTGCTCTACCTGGTAAACTAAAACTCTGGTGCTTTCAGTTTGGTCTACTGCCGAGGTTGCTGTGGCCACTGACCGTGTACGACGTTTCTTTGACAACAGTGGATAAGCTGGAAGCGTTGATAAGTTCATACATCAGGAAATGGTTGGGAGTTCCACGCTGCCTCAGCAGAGTAGGACTTTATAGTAAAGGAATATTGCAGCTGCCAGTCTCTGCTTTAACCGAGGAGTTCAAGTGTGCCAAGGTCAGACTGGAAATGACCTTAGTAGAGTCACGCGACAAATGTGTAAGGGAGGCAGCCCCTGTGTTAAAAACTGGTAGAAAGTGGTCAGCAAAGAAATCTGTAGTAGAGGCAAAGGCTGCCCTTCAAATTAGGGATATCGTGGGACAGGTACAGCATGGAAGAGGGGGTTTTGGGCTCAGTTTAGCTCCTCCTAAATGGCACAAGGCAGGCCCAGCTCAAAGGAGGAAGCTGGTAGTCAACAAGGTGCGACAGCAGGAGGAGAGGATGAGGTGTATAAAGGCCATTTCCCAGGCCAAGCAGGGAGAGTGGATGAGATGGGAGAGTGTGGAACAACGTAAGATGGGCTGGCAAGACCTTTGGTCAATGGAAGAGAGTAGGATCAGTTTCCTTATCAGGTCAACATATGATGTTCTCCCATCACCGCAGAACCTAAACCTCTGGGTAGGAGAGGATCCCTCTTGTCCTTTGTGTTCATCACCTGCCACATTAAGGCACATTTTGACAGGATGTAAGGTGGCTCTTAGCCAAGGTCGGTTTACTTGGCGCCATGACCAAGTACTGCGATGTTTGGCTTTAGCATTAGAAGGCAAGCGTAACATGACCAATAAGTTGCCACCTGTTCTAGCAAAACATTACACGCAGAAGACAATATTCCTCCGCCCAGGCGAGCAACCACCAAGAAAAGGTGTTAACACCAATTCTCGCCCAGGACAACTGGAAGCTGCTAGGGACTGGAAGATGCTGGCTGATCTTGACCAACGGCTTATTTTTCCACCTGAGATTGCCACCACTAACCTACGACCAGATATTGTTTTGTGGTCTGGATCAGCACGCATTGTTCAACTGATAGAGTTAACAGTGCCATGGGAGGACGCGGTAGATGAGGCATATGAGAGGAAGAAACTGCGGTATGCTCATCTGGCCACTGAAGCAGAACAGCGAGGATGGAGAGTCCAGGTTTATCCAGTGGAAGTGGGTTGTCGAGGTTTTGTGGCACACTCTACAACCCGGTTCCTCAGAGACATCGGATTCAGCGGCCAAGAGTTGCGTCGCACAGTAAAGAACTTATCTGAAGCAGCAGAAAGGAGCAGCAACTGGCTGTGGTTGAGACGGAAAGATTCTAGCTGGCTGTGTACAGGCCGCCACGCTACAGTTTCGTAGAATTCTTGAAAACTTGAAGAGTCTGTTGGTTTGTTTGTATACGTTCCTGAGGATATTGCGTGAATGACGGGTGGTTGGGCAGATATTGTGTTTTGCGGTAGGTGGTATGCCATACGGAACCGTTGTCCACTGAAACTGCATATTAACGCACCAGTGGGGCTCGACAGCCTTAGTCAACGGGTTGGCGCGTATGGTTGGGTTGCGGAGAGATTGTGAGATAGTGGTTAGGTCTCAGCAGCAGGAGGGATGTAGAGGTCAGTAAGCTGGGCTGAGTAGAGTGGGGGACGGAGGGGGGTGACTCTGGGACGCCAGAGTCACTGTCGAGCCCTCTTGAGGTGTCGTGGGCTAGTCGACGAAACACTGAGGACGGAAGGTGCCCACTTGAAGACCCTAGAGATGTCCCCTACTCGGCTCAATCCAGACGGTTGTCGTAATGGTCCTGTAGTTGCAGCCGTCGCGTGCGCTGACGCGCCAAGTACACTGCTGCCGTTAACGCCGGACAGAAGGGGAGTCAAACCACCATATGGAAAGAAGCGTAAATGGATGGAGAAGCATAGTTTACTGTAAAGCTACGTCTTAGTTTTGCTTATCTTGGCGAAAGCCGAGTACAAATCAGCATGAAGTTTTAACATCTACTCTCGTGTAATGGAAATCAACACAGTATGTTATGTCTATTTTATCTAGGCTATTTAAAAAAAAAAAAATATATATATATATATATATATATTTGTGTGTGTATATATATATATATATCACGTTTTTAAGTAGGCTAAAGGCAGAGAGCTGTGTGCATTCTTCTTCCCTTTGCCACATCATATCTCTGTGAGATGGGCTTTTCAGCTGTTTCAGTTTCACTGAAAACAAACTACACATCTCAGCTGAACATTGAGCTTGACTTTTGAGAAATTGTGCAATTCAAAACAGGCTCATTGCAGCCACTAATGCAGGGATAAATAGACCTGTCTTGCCAAATGGATTTCTATTCTTTTCTTTTTTTAACAGATTGCAAAGTGGCACTTTTATTTCTTTTCTATTTTTGAACTTCGATACCAATTTTGACACAGCCGCATTTTATTTTCTCTATTTTTTAAAGACTTTTTTTTTTACTTAACTTGATTAAAACCTTTTTGCGTTTTCGGCGACTAAAACTTGACTAAAACCTTTTTTTGTTTTCGTCGACTAAAACTTGACTAAAACTATTACGTTTTTAGAGGACTAAAATGTGACTAAAACTAAAAAGCATTTTCGTCCAAGACTAAGACTAAGACTAAAACTAAAAGGGCTGCCAAAAACAACACTGATCTTGACTACCCTACACAACCTAGAAAAAGCCCAACACCACCAAACTGTCCCCCCACAACATGCAGCTGGTTGGCATCCCCCCACTCAGGATGTTAGAGGGCACTCCACTCACATCTCCAGGCCAGCAGGATTTCAGACTATTACCTTCCCTCCACAGGGTACACAATGGGAAGACGAGAGCAATGAGGGGTCTTACTACAGAGACATGTAGCCAGTAAAGGGAAAAACTGTGTCAATTGTAAATAGCTACTTGTTTTTGTTGAGTTTCAGTTGTTCGTAAATGTTCGTTGAATGTTTATTTGATGTTTATTAATAATAAAAAAATACTTGTCTGAGAATTTGGTATATAAAAAAAACTTTCTTGAGCTTGTGGTCAGCAATTTGTTGTCTGTGACATTATGATCTTACCTCAATCCAACAGCCAGTCTCTGCTTGGGTTCTATGGCAACTCTGTAATTGGTTGATTGTCTGGTCAGTTCAGGGCCAATGATGGACAGAAGTTCATCCATCTACTCTGCACTCATCCTAAAGTACAGATGATGGCGTTGGCTGTCCAGCCTCAGTTCAGCCACAAGATGATAAAAATCACCTTGTTGTCTCCTTCGCTGGTTGAGAGTATGCACCCAACACCGTTTCCTTCTCCTTCTGCCCCTCTGTATTCTTTCAAGTAGAAGAACAAATGCCAGTGTCCTCCTCCTGCTCACAGGCACTGTATGTGAAATATAGATATGAGATAATTGAGGATCCATTTTAAAGGATGAAAACACAGCAACAAATATTTTATCCTTGTCGTTCCTTACTATCCTAGTAAAAAAAAACTATACCAAAATCTATTTAAAATACATTAACTTCATTGTATACTTCAAATCCATATTTATTGACATATCACTTAAAATAATAATTAACCTTTATTTTGAGCATTTCTTTATTGCCAAATGCACATTTATTAATATTACGCCTTAACCATATCAATATTTTTAAAATTTAATTTAATATATATTTCATAAATAATTAATTTCATAAAAATATATTATTTAATTTAATATCTCTATTAATAAGGATTGTATAATATATCTTTAAACGCAAAATATATAAAAAATTTACCTAAAGTATACTTGCAATAGTTCCACTTTAGCATAATCAAATATACGTATAACTTAGTATATCTACTTGGACCTCAGCACTACTTCCCCACAATTGAAGTGAATTAAGTACAAAATTAGTTTTCCCAATTTAGACTTTTAGTAAAATATAGTTTAGTATACAAAAAATGTAAAATTGCAGGGTATTTGTTATTAAGCACATAAATATGTAAATTATCCCACAATTGAAGTGAATTAAGTACAAAATTAGTTTTCCCAATTTAGACTTTTAGTAAAATATAGTTTAGTATACAAAAAATGTAAAATTGCAGGGTATTTGTTATTAAGCACATAAATATGTAAATTATTTTTTAGGATACTTAGCACACACACACAAAATTATTTCCAATACATGAAATTAAATTAGTATATTTTTTTTCCACTATGGTGGACATTTAAGTGTATTAATATGCCGGCAACAGCGCAACAAAGTAGGACATAGCTAAAAACATAACAAACACAATTACACCGGACAAAACATAAACATTTAGCCAACTTACTCATGGTACTAGAAACTCCAAAATCAGAAAAACACGTCGGACAGGCAAATCACGTGGTCTCACGCATCCAGTCGCTCCGCTTCTGATATGCTCCTGGTGTGAGTTGGCACCGCGTGGAGGACGGAATAAAACCTTGCCGGAGCCGTAATGCGCCGCAGACGTGTGCAGTGTAAATGAGGGGTAAGATCCCATGAACAGGCTCTGCTGGTAGTCCCTACAGCAGAGCCTGTAGTCCCTCGCACTAGACTCAAGCATAGAGGGGAGCGTGCATTTGTGGTGGCAGGGCCACGACTCTGGAACACCATGCCTCTAGAGATTAGAACGGCCCCTACCCTGTCTTTGTTCAAGTCTCTGTTAAAAACCTACCTGTTCTCTTTAGCATATTGATCTCTTTTATTAGGTTGGTTTAACTACTTTAAATTTGAGTCTGGTACTGTCAGGTTGAGTGCAGGTAGCTGAAGACGAGGATGCAGGAATGTCAAAGTAGTTGATTTATTTACAAAATTAACTTCAGGAACATACAAGAACAAAATAACAAACTCCAGGAATTCAGGGTAAACACAACCATACATTGACGACGATCAACAAACACTGAGGGAAAACACAGGGCTTAAATGAACGGGGACTAATGGGATAATGAACTGAACACAGGTGACGGGAATTACTAATTAGACAGAGCAAGAAAACTAACAGGACTGAACCAAAATCACAAAGACAGGGGGAAACTAGATCACAAAACAGAACTTAAACACATAGAAACGTGACAGTACCTCCCCCCTCCCCGAAGGCGCGTCCTCGCGCCATATAACATCCAAAGGGGTGGGAGGGTGGGCATCCTGGACTCCAGGACAGTCCAGGCGGAGCAGGCTGGTCAGGGGACCAGGGCGGAGCAGGCTGTGGGCGTGACCACGGCGGAGCTGTCGGACCCTCGGGCGTCCAGGGCGGAGCTGTCGGACCCTCGGGCGTCCAGGGCGGAGCTGTCGGACCCTCGGGCGTCCAGGGCGAAGCTGTCGGACCCTCGGGCGTCCAGGGCAGAGGTGACCCTTCAGGCAGCCGTGGCGGTGAGGACCCTTCGGGCAGCCGTGGCGGTGAGGACCCTTCGGGCGGCCGTGGTGGTGAGGACCCTTCGGGGGGCCGTGGTGGTGAGGAACCTTCGGGCAGCCGTGGCGGTGAGGACCCTTCGGGCGGCCGTGGTGGTGAGGACCCTTCGGGGGGCCGTGGCGGTGAGGAACCTTCGGGCAGCCGTGGCGGTGAGGAACCTTCGGGCGGCCCGTGGTAGTGAGGAACCTTCGGGCGGCCGTGGCGGTGTTTTTTCAGGCCTCCGTGGGTCTTTGGCCGGCCACGGCCAAATCTTGTTTTCCAGATTTGAAACCTTGTAAATGGTGATCTGAAAACTGGTGTGCGAATAGGTGAAAAAAAGTTTTGAAATTCTGAAAGCTGAGGTTCGAAAGGGTGAAACCTATTACATTACATTACATTTGCACTCCTATTGCAGACTATTTTTTCAGAGCCGAGTTTACAACACCCGCTTTGCGGAGATACGCCCACACAGTTGCGAGCTTGCGACTCACGTGATTTGTGGCAGTGTTGTCACGCAGCTCTGCTCTGAAACTCTGAAACTCAGACTGAGCGAAAATGAAGCTTCGCAACCTCGCAACTTAAAAAAAAAGCCTGGAGGGAGGGCCTTCTGCTCTTGGCCAATGCTTTGCTCTCTGCTGACGTACAGTCCAATCACAAGTCGTATTTACTGGAAAGGTGGGATTGACCGACTGCTCCGCCAATGACGAAAGCGCACAGGATACGCAAACAGGATGCACGGCTCTCTTTGGCCACAAGGCGGTCCCGTCTAAAGCTGCAAGAACCGCGTCCATGGCTGGGCCTGGGAGAGAGGTGAAAAACTTTGTTAACAGTAACGTTACCTGCCATGTTGTAACCATTAACTTTAGCTAACTAAAAAGCTAGCTAATACCTGTGAATTTATTAGCATGCTTGTGATCATCTCTGTGTAGTCACTAATAGCTAACTGAGGCTGTGTTCGAAACTTTAAAGTAAAGCTATTTACGATTTTTCAAGAGCAGATTCATCACTCCTCCTCACCATGCCTAACGTTAACCCTCAACATGCCATAGTGAAATGTTCATTTTCATTCATTTGGGTTTCGTGGGGTGAAATAATAGCCTACATTTGCTGCCGATGTATGCATATACATTTAAAATTATGATGTTTATAGACACTATTATATTTTACTGCTCACAGCTGTCTTGTTTTGGTAAAATGGACAACTTCTAAGTTTGATATCAATCACAATATAAAAATATAGATAGAAGCTTGAAGGTTTGAGCTGTTTGGAAACTGCACACACAAACAATTATAGGCTATGCTATGCATTTCATGTATAGATCTTTTGGCATTGTTCTGTATTTCCACAAACTCTTGGTGTTGTTTCTGTGACTTTCTTGGAGTGCTAATTTCTAATTAATTTCCCTTTTATTGCCAGGATGTCCTTTGGAAGGAGTTACTTGAGCGGCTGCGGTCTAGAGTGCAGCAAGCACTTTCAAGACAACCTGTCGATTTGGACTTCCTCGAGTTTGTCTGCAACAATGAATTAATTTTAATTCAGTCTTTTGCTGATCAGATACACATTGGCACTGACATTTTGCAGCAGTTAAACCATTTGTTGGAGCTGCTCCAAGCTGCAGTTGAAAACAATCCAGCTGTCACATTTAGACACAGCTGTGGGGTTAAGAGGAGGACCTAGGTTGATTATACAGAGAGATCAGTTGCATTACTTACTAGAAGCACAATTCTCAGTACCCTGTATAGCTCAGTTGTTAGGGGTATCACAACGCACTATATTCCGTAGGATGGAGGAATATGGACTAAGTGTGACAGGATGCTACAGCACCATGACTGACTCAGAACTTGATAACATGGTGAGAGCTATAAAAAACCAGATGCCCAATGCAGGGTACAGAAATGTGAAGGGACAGCTCATGGCAATGGGTAGCCGTGTGCAGTGGGAGAGGATAAAGGCATCGATGCATCGTGTGGATGCCGCTGGAGTTCTTTCCCGACTTGCACAACTTGGCTGCATTGTGCGAAGATCATACTCGGTTCGAGGTCCCCTTGCACTGGTACATGTTGACACCAACCATAAACTTATCAGGTATGTTCTAGCTATGTTTTTATGTATTTTAAGCGAACTTTATCCTTGCTAAGGTGTAATGTAAATCAGTGGTTTTAAACTCAGGTCCTTTGGGGCCCTCTGACCTCCAGGACCGAAGTTGTGGCTAATTCCCTGGGTGTGCTATGAGTCCACAATAGTGTATTTGTATCTCTCTGTTCACCTCCATAGTATCCAACCCAATTTTACACCAAATATACAACTTTATTTAAAGCATGCAAGCCAGTGATCAGTGTGACATAGTAATTATCAGTGTCAATAATGTTGTTTTTGTTTGTTTTTTGTATTACTTTTTGTTCATAGGTACAACCTGATAATATTTGGTGGAGTTGATGGATTTTCCAGAAAGGTAGTACAATTCATATGTATACAATATCCACTTTGCTAGGTAAATAATTTCAATTCAAGCAATAGAAAGGTTGGACTATCTAAAGTACAGAAGGATAAGTGGTTGAACAGTGCAATACCAAGCAAGTCAAATGAACTCAACCACCTCAACTTTTTTGCTGCTTGATAGAAAAGGAAAACTGGGAAAGTTCTCATTTTCCATGTCTAATCTACAAGAGACGTTTGTCTGATGTAACATCATTTACTCCAATTTAAGAGTTTTTGGATACACAGTTTGTAACTAGTGAGTGACGAGCAGGCTCTGCATGCACAGTGAATTAGCAATCTCAATATTATTCTTGATCAGTTTTTAATTCTTTTAGGATGCTCAATTATTTTTAAATTGAGCAACTGAAGTAATCTTGTGAAACTGCATCTATTTTTTCATATCGCAATATATATCGCAGAAAATAAAAAT